GGTTAACCAAGGATATCATACAGCTAAACGGAATAAGAGGGTTAACCAAGGATATCATACAGCTAAACGGAATAAGAGAGTTAACCAAGGATATCATACAGATAAACGGAATAAGAGTTGGTTAAACTCTCTTATTCCCTTTAACTGTGCGAGACGTCATTGGTTAAACTCTCTTATTCCCTTTAACTGTGCGAGACGTCATTGGTTAAATTCTCTTATTCCCTTTAACTGTACGAGATTTCATGGGTTAAACTCTCTTATTCCGTTAAGCTGTATGATATCCTTGGTTAACTCTCTTATTCCGTTAAGCTGTATGATATCATTGGTTAACTCTCTTATTCCGTTTAGCTGTATGATATCATTGGTTAACTCTTATTCCGTTTAGCTGTATGATATCTTGGTTAACTTGACGTCTCGCACAGTTAAAGGGAATAAGAGAGTTTAACCAATGACGTCTCGCACAGTTAAACGGAATACAACATCCCTAGTCTATTTTCTCCAAATATATAACATAGCTGTCTATTTTAAAGGAACAAAGATTTATAACTAGGTATTTCATCCATAAACACTTCTAGTACGTCTTTAAGAGAGGAAAAATATTTAATTAAACAAGGACTTAAACTATAAGTTAATTTAAAATTTTTCTACGCTGCTGGAACTTTAAGCTTTGTTTTACATAAATTGTTAAGACAACCAGATTTATGTTCAAGAAAGAATCAGCTTTTGCACACAACAAAATGCCAATTGTTATTAGTTCTGCAAAATAATGTCAAAGAAGGTAATTTAAAACTTCTAAAGACAGTTGTTTCCTGAAAAGTTGTGATAACTACCAAGGAACATTAATTTACGTCAGCTTTGATGTGTAAATACCTCGTCAACAAGAGCTACCATCTGTTGTTTTGTATCCAAGTCAGATAAAGTCCCGATCCGATTGATAGCCTTTCCGATCACGTCCTGAATGAAAGTTTAAAAATATGTACAAATTATTCTGTCATGAGATAAACTACGATAAATGATCAATCTTCTGGGAAGCAGTGTTTTAGTGTATAAACGCTATCTAAAGAACAACCGATAACATGGTGTAAAATCATGCTTTACTTTCAAGTTTGATTGAAACTAGATTTCAAGCCAGATTTTAGCACTTAATTCTTACCACCCCGTATTATTACCGAGTTGTATGAGCTCATATACTTTATTTTAAATGTACGTCCTTTCTCCCCGTTATTTGTAAGAAATGCCTTCATAATTCCTTTAATATATTTAAAACGTACTGTTTATTAGTGCAAATCTACACAACAGACATTTGCGCTTTACAGCCCACGGGGTATCGAACTCCAGATTTTATTGCTGTAAGTCTGGGGGACTTTAAAACGTGCACGCAAGATCCAACAACTTTTTTATATAAACTAAAACTGACAATATTGTTTTATTCTTTTAACTATCCTGAAATAATTCAAGGTTCGTCAGCTGATGTCACTTATTTCAACAAATATTCTGAATTACTTTAAAACCCAAATAGATTTTTTTAAAGTCTATCGCCAGCGACATACAGAAAACGATGTTCGGTTGGGACAAGAAAAGATTGATATTTAAAACTTACTTACAATTTTTATCGTTATTCTTCAGCACACATAGGCTGCGTTAAAATCTGGATTTAAAATTTCTTCCTAAAAAAAATATCCTCTTTCAAAGAGATATTTTGAGATGGTTCATTTACAAGTACAAAGTTGATGTTTTAAATGTAAAATACTAAGAATAAACCATTGTCAATACAACTTGTCTTGTTTTACCCACTACCTTGATTTGTGGGATTGGTCTCACGTGCTGGGAACATGGTCTATTCTGTGGTGGCTTAAGCTTATCATCAAGTAGATCAACTTGTTTCTTGTATGTCGCTAGAATGTCTTCTTTGTGTCTCAGGTAAGCTCCAAAATGAGGAAGTTTCTGTACAGATAAAACCAGCGTCAAACAATAAATCATTTAGGATGGCGCATCACAAATACGAATATAACTTTGTATATGAAAACACTTAGAGTGGATGGGCTCAAACCCGTGATTAATCATCAGGCAAGTATTTGAACCGGCTATAGCGAATACCGTTTGAAAAAAACTTTATGGTATACTGTCATGAAATGCGCGTTTGTAGCTATACAATGTAAAAGATCTAACGTATAATTAGATCCGATCTTAATTAAAGTAAAACTACTTTTATTTTAGATTATATGTGATATAGATACAATCGTAAGGTTATTAACGTTCCCATGATACTTGTAATACATGAAACTGAAAAAACGAGTTCCAATACTGCAGTGTTTCCCAAACTTTTATCATCTACACATCCATTTAATAAATATAGTTTCTTGCGCGAAAGAGTAAGTTAAGTGACGAGATGTAATACACGGTTACACGTTAAAATGCTATATGTGCTGTTGTAATCACTTATCATTTTCATTAGTTAAAAAAATATATTAAAACGCTTAAATTTGCATTATTTCACTATTGACTGTACCTCATCTCTCGCGACCCTCCAAGAGATCGCCCGCCTCCCTGGAGGGCATACTTTGGGGAACGCTGAAATACCGTGTTCTAACATTTCGTACATCATATTTTAACATGAAAGGAAACATCATAGAATATTTTTATGATGCTTAGGCGTTTTGAAACGAGTTGAAGGATTTTCTTCTATTTGCTACAACTACAGGTATAATAGGAATCTTCTAGAAATCAGAACTTGAATCAAGGGTTTATGTTCATCAGTTTTATACTCTAAGTCTCAAGATTTTCAAGCATTAAAAACGAGTTAAAAACATTTTAAAAAATGGTTTTGTTTTGAATTTCGCGCAAAGCTACACGAGGGCTATATGCGCTAGCCGTCCTTAATTTAGCAGTGCAAGACAAGAGGGAAGGCAGCTAGTCCTCACCACCCACCGCCAACTCTGGGGCTACTCACATTATAACGCCTCCACGGCTGAAAGGGCGAGTATGTTTGGTGTGACGGGGATTCGAACCCGCGACCCACAGATTGTGAGTCGAACTCCCTAACCACCTGGCCATGTCGGGCCCTAAAAAATGGACGTCACTAAAAATACTTTAAATCCTACAGTTAGAAATGAACCTAGTTACAATCACAATTAAATCAGCCCTCTTTGAAAACCTAAACTGATATTTATTTTTTACTTTACTTCAACATCAGCCTTTCAGCAACTTAAAGGTTAGCAAAGTTTTGGGTTTGGACCCTTAACAAAGATTCGGTTAGGGTTGAGAATGTAATATATTAACCTTGAATGTGGCGTCAGGTAGAACATTTATAGGCTTTCCTTTGTGGTGACGAGGTGTCGGCGGAGACTGAAAGTTCCATTTCTTTGTTGCTTCCAAACTTTTTAAGTACATATTTGCTTTCAGTCCTGTAACATAGTCATCAATGACGGTGAAGTCTTGGTTCTGAATAGCGCTACAGACCTTTTTTTTTAAAGCCAGAAAAAAAACAAAAAAAAACAGATTGTAAGACCGCTAGTACTGACCATACTGTAACTTTACATAAAATCAAGTAAATTCAACAAATCTTCTTGATAATCAGAATAATACTTCATGAACAGGGGCGTCGAGAGCCAGCCCAGGCCCCGGGGTCAGTAATATCATTGCCCCCCCTTTCATTCTATTTATTAAATTTGCTGATTTTTCATAAACGAAATTTAGTTGACAAATTTCTTTATGAATCTATGAAAAAGCAGTAGCCATTTTATCTCATTAAGTAGTATGCATTTCTAGTGAGCTTTGGAATATTCCACTGCCGGGGCCCTCAACAGCGCCCTGGCCAGCTGCCCCTCTTGACCTTCCACCCCTCTCGTCAGCACTGTTCATGAATTACAACGTGTTCTAACATTATCAAGCAAGCGAATTGATATTTCTCATACTAATCACCAATTCAGATTCCTTAGACTGTTACTTGTAACGCTAAATATTATTGCATATTTTATAAGACAAGAAGTCCGAAAATGTTTTATCCACCTACATTTTAAGGTAACGTTTACATAAGTAGACAAAACAATGATTTCTGGATGAAGCATGGAACTTCCTCTTACTTGCAGAACAGTAGCTCCGCAATAAAGAAATTGAAGGCCTACTTCTGCAGAATCTATACCTCCCGTAGCTAAAATTGGAAACCCAGGTAAAGCCTTAGCTATGGCCGACACTGTTCGAAGAGCAATTGGACGGATGGCATTTCCTGATACTCCCCCATAGGATGTTTTATTTTCTATTCCCACGGTTGGCCATCCGGTGCCGTCTCCTCTCAGACCCATAAGGCCTGGCACTGTATTTGTCGCTGTTACTCCGTCCGCTTTTCCTACGAAAAAACAAACAAAAAAAACCTACTATTTTAACTACTCACACCACTATACAGGAGTGTGTTGTCAGTCAGTAGACACTAAAATGACATCGCATAAGGGAGGCTCAGTGTTGCAATTTGTACTGTCGGGACGTCAGTAAAACGTGTGCATGCCATGAATCACGAGAAAAATTATGTACTTTATAGGCTACAACACAGCGTGACATATGAACTATAGAAGCACAAAATAAAAATATTTGTTACTCATAATTTTGATTTTATTTATTCTTGAAACAGAACACTTTCGGGGACCCTGCGGAAGTGCATCTAGTATACATACAGAATATAACAAAAAACGATATTTATTATACTAAAGAGAAGCATTTTTTCGTATTCATTTTTGTAGTAGCGAGTTTAGGTATTACAACTGTAAATTAGTGTACAATAAATGTATTAATCTAACTTCTTACTCGATATGATAAAATGCGTATTTACAAATGCATAAACATTATCGTATTTTTAAGGGTGTGAAGTAATTAGTAAGTACATATCAAAATAACTCATTTGAAAAATATCTTTCGCAATTCATGAGATATTAATAATCTGTGAGAAAACTTGACTTTTCTCTGTCCTATCGTCTGTTTTTATAAAGCCATGTCACGTTTGAACGCAGTAAGTGGTCTATGATGCTTAGAATTCCAATTGAAGTACAATCTTTCGAAATTGAACATTTATAATTTGATATCACTGGGTTTATTTTTGCATTTTATTTTGTTCTACACAAGTTTACTTGCATATTGATGGATTGTGACCTACTACATTTTCATGTCTATTCAAAGCTCTAGTGTGCTATCCTTTAATCCTAGATTACCTTTATCAATAATCACTCATAATATATAATCAGGAGGAGACCAGTTTGTACATATCTCAATATCACCTATATTTAGGTATGACTTGCACTTGAAGGAAGAGTGGGCACAGAAGCATGGCCATATGAGCATAAGCTCTATGAAATGGCCACTGTAGTTTGGAACATTAGTCCATAATTGCTCCGATCTTCTTTACAAGGATATTAAATGAATGTAAAACACCTGTATAAAACAAGTAGAAACATATTTCTGGATATAACAAGAAAGAACCAGAAGTAACATCTGGTGGTTTCAATTAGCACATTTCCCTCTTTTCTTATCTCAAGATTTTCTAGACCAGAACTTTTAAAATTACATATAAATGGTCGAATTTTAGTAATTGACTTGTATAATCATAGTTTCCATTAATCATCTCCTTAAGCGACACACATTGTCATAGCACTTACATAAGAACAACCTTCTTGAAAAGTTTAAAGAAATGGTCCAGATCTTACCATCTGTTTAAACAATGGCAAGTAAACGTGCTTCACTTCACAGTGAAACAGTGGTGCATATAGAAACCTTCTGACAGTGTATCTACTACTATGCTACTGAGGTACTATCAGTGGAAATGGTCTTTCTTAATCATCTTCCACAAGTCTGCATACAGGTGCTGTCATAGAAACAGCCTCAGTCAGAGACAAAGTATCTCTCAGATTCATGATGCACTATGGGTTTGCTCAAAAGCTCTTCAAAAAACTTGTTGGGGAGGGTTTCATGACCCAGGGGTGACATTCTCTGGAAAGCATTTCCATTTATCTTCTCCATATTGTCCATGCGAGTATTAAAGTTCTTGTGAGGCCCATGCCTTTGAACATTGAACTTGGTCCAAGTGATCTAGGACATTAAGTGCTGAGCCATTCAAACTCGGTATCAGATGCTGAAGTGCCTGTTCTACCTCACCTTAATTGCAATTATTCCTTACATATATATAGTACTTAAAGTGTTTGAGAACGGACTAGATCCTTCTTCACCATTCCTTTAAACACTGACAGATTATCCTGATTCACTTCATCACTGATAAGAAACAGTGGTGCAGACAGGTACCTGCAGCTAGTGTCTTTGCTACTGTATAGCTAATACTGTCAATACTCAAGGTATGTCTTCTTTCTAAGTCTGAAGACATGCTCCCACAGAAACAATCTTATTCAGAGAAACATCCCTAAGTATATGTGGTGTCACGAGTTTGTTCAGCAGATACATATAAACTTGCTGATGAGAGTTTTTTTAGGATCCAGAGGTGGCATTTTAGAGAAAGCATTACCATGTAATCTACTCGAATCATCTACGGGATGACGGATCACGTTTTCGACCCTTGGACTTTATGATAAAACACGCTGACAACCAAAACCTTTTAATAAGTTGTCCCTTAATAAAGTGCTGTAGATTTTCGAACACTGAACTGTCCAAACTCAGTATCATATGTTCCAATGCCCGTCCCTGAGCCCAACTATTTTCAACCCACTTGAAACATTTGTCGAAATATCCAGCCCTCCTTCAGCATCCCTTGAAACACTAGCAGGTTAACTTGTTTCATTTCAACGCCATTGTGAAAATATGCATCATTGTTCCTAGTATTTCTACCTCTATGTAACTGAGATATTGCCATTGCTTAAAGGACATCATTCTTATTTTCATAGTTTAGAGACCTGCACATCTTGACGAATATGGTGTTCTGGGGCAAGGTCAGCATAAGACTGCTGTGATATGTAGAGTTATACGTTGTCTACGCATTGCATATCCATCTCAACTGCTAGACTTGGTATCGTAATGTTTTCATTATGCTTTACTGTCCTGGAAGGCCCAAGGATCCGTAAGATAATGATGAGATGGTGGCTACTTTACTTATTGTAATATTGTGGCTCATTGTGAGAGAATGAACGTTATCTTACATTGTCCTTTATACAGTTTTTGTTTCGTTAACGGGTACCCTCAGCTAGTCTTGGCAATCAATAATCCTGTAGCACAGTTCCCATAGAAAGAGGCTCTGTCGTAAGGTTGAGATGTCCAAAGCATATTTAAATTCGTTTTAATATAACGTACTCAACTCTGTAATCAAACAACAACCGAAACTGAATTGTGAAGATTTTTCAACTTCAATATGTGAATTTTAGAAATATGTAAAAGTTTTCGATCGTTATACAGTTATACCTAAAATATTAAAATGCTTTAAAAAAATCATTAGCATTTGTTTCTGTTTTCACATTTATTCGTACTTAACAAAATATAAGCAAATGCTATGAAAAATAAATGATGACGTTTCAGGAGCACGTGTTACAGCTGATAGTGTTGAAAAAAGTCTCCTTCGAATTGTCTTCTAGATGACAACATACACAAAAGTATTAAACTTTCTGAATTTATCAAAGGACAGACTATGATCACTATAAAATGTGGTCAAATAATGAAAATAATATTCTCCCATTTTTATGGAATGGAACTTATTAAGGGAGAATAGTAATGGCTTTTCATTTTCGGTTAGAACTTGCTCGAAAATTCTTTATAATCATATCACTGTTTTAAAACCTTTTAAATTATTTCTCACAAGTTGGGTTAGCCATTATACTGTGACTGTATTTTATTAGTTCAATAATTTAGTCAAGTAACTCACTAATTATGAAAATGAAATACTTACAATTTATTCAGATAATTAAAAAGTAATGAAAACGGGTAATATATGTAAATTGTAGAAATCTACCTATATTATCCAGGTTTTATCCCAGTTTTATTCATTTGTAAGACAATAGAAGGAAATATGCCCGTTTAAACTTACCTTCATAAGCAGCTTTTGCTATAGAGACAATATCAGTGACGTTAGGCGTCAGTTTCGCAAAAATTGGAATTTGAACAACTTCTCGAACCCACAAGCATATACTTCGAATAGATTCAGGATCCTAAAAACAACAGTAACACAATATTATTATTATTGAGTAGTTTTGTATATAAAAGTCGCAGTATTTATATTTCCTGTTCACATCATGGCAAAATAATCGTAATGAAGCAACTTAACACATCCAGAGGTTGTTTAAATATGTAAACTGTATTGAGGGTTGTCTCAATAATCGTAATGAAGTAACTTAACACATCTAGAGGTTGTTTAAATATGTAAACTGTATTGAGGGTTGTCTCAATAATCGTAATGGAGTAACTTAACACATCTAGAGGTTGTTTAAATATGTAAACTGTATTGAGGGTTGTCTCAATAATCGTAATGAAGCAAATGAGCACATCTAGAGGTTGTTTAAATGTGTAAACTGTATTCAGGGTTGTCTTAATAATCGTAATGAAGCAAATGAACACATCTAGAGGTTGTTTAAATGTGTAAACTGTATTCAGGGTTGTCTTAATAATCGTAATGAAGCAAATGAACACATTTAGAGATGTTTAAAGATAAACATATTTTTCTCTGAAAACTATTTAAAAGAGCAATATTAGAAAACTATAACCCAAGTACTTTAACATGGGTCCCAAAAACACAAGTGGATAATGTTTTGGAAAAGTCTAGGAAACCCTTATTTAAGAGATGTAAAACTTTTAGATAATCTATTCCTGAATGAATGTTCTATGAATTTTAAGTCCTAGAAGAACAAAACATAAAATATCTCGTTACAACGAACATCAAATGATATTATTGCTTCACTTCAACTCATTAGTTTCATTCCTCAACAAGCCATTAGTTTTCTTCCCCAACAAGCCATCATACGATATTTTCATCATGTATCATTAGCTTTAATTACAACGCTAGAAACCGGGTTTCGATACCCGTGGTGGGCAGAGTACAGATAGCCCATTGTGTAGCTTTGTGCTTAACTTCAAACAAACAAAAATTAGCTTTAATAAACACGAAAGCGTGCTCAATTAATTATAAGGAGCTAGCTTGAAGATACATCATCCTTTTTGTAGTAAATACAAAGTGTTAAGTAAGACATTAATTTAAAAACAGAATAAACTGACTTGCAGGATACCTTGTATTAAAATTATGTTTCCAATATATAACTATTTTTATGGTAGAGCTACCAATATATAACTATTTATATGGTAGTGCTACCAGTATATAACTATTTTTATGGTAGTGCTACCAGTATATAACTATTTTTATGGTAGTGCTACCAGTATATAACTATTTTTATGGTAGTGCTACCAGTATATAACTATTTTTATGGTAGTGCTACCAGTGTATAACTATTTTTATGGTAGTGCTACCAGTGTATAACTATTTTTATGGTAGTGCTACCAGTGTATAACTATTTTTATGGTAGTGCTACCAGTGTATAACTATTTTTATGGTAGTGCTACTACAGATTGTATAAACAAATATATGTCTAATTCTGACTTTTAATTCTTCTTCATAATTCCAACAGGTTTTCGGTTTACATTTCCCACCATTTCCAACATCTATGGTACGTAGTTATCTATATCGCAAGGCTATTTTGAAACAGTCCAAAACACGATAATTAACTGATATTAAGAAGGTTAAGAAAGAGTGTGTAAGAATGTAATTGATTTAGTTCAGGTATGATCTATTTGTTTTTCATAACGATAACTTTCTGTTGCTTATTTTCATCAAGGAAGAATAAGGCCTGTTGACAGGCTATATTCACGACGATACCTCCAAAATCCTTAACCAGAAAATTAAACAATGCTCTGAAGGTAAAATTTGATTTTTAGTTTTCCGTATTTTCACACAAAAGATCCATCTTTAGTTTCAGGAATTCGGAAGAGCTCAAAATGTGTGCTATGAATAATAACTTCATGCAAGATGCGACTTTCTGGACGTAATAACTCACCTGTCCACATTCTAAACCCATTCCTCGTTTCACCGCTCCGTGAGGAACGTAATAACTCACCTGTCCACATTCTAAACCCATTCCTCGTTTCACCGCTCCGTGAGGAACGTAATAACTCACCTGTCCACATTCTAAACCCATTCCTCGTTTCACCGCTCCGTGAGGACAAGATCGATTCAGCTCCAAGGCGTCTGCTCCAGCTTCCTGAATATTTCATGTTAAAGAAAAAATTAGTTAAAATGATCAATATTAAGAACGTAGAGAAACATTAAAACGACAGTTTTGTTAGCGCATTTGTTTTCTTTTCTATAACTTGGTAAAATAACTTTACTCTAACAATAAATAAATGAAACCGAAAACATCCAATTCCCTGCATTGCAGCTTCTCTATAACATAGTATGTGAAGTGTGCAATTAAATATATAGTGTGGAAACGATATAATTAGTTAAGGATATAGTGTGGAAACGATATAATTAGTTAAGGATATAGTGTGGAAACGATATAATTAGTTAAGGATATAGTGTGGAAACGATATAATTAGTTAAGGATATAGTGTGGAAACGATATAATTAGTTAAGGATATAGTGTGGAAACGATATAATTAGTTAAGGATATAGTGTGGAAAACGATATAATTAGTTAAGGATATAGTGTGGAAACGATATAATTAGTTAAGGATATAGTGTGGAAACGATATAATTAGTTAAGGATATAGTGTGGAAACGATATAATTATTTAAGGATATAGTGTGGAAACGATATAATTAGTTAAGGATATAGTGTGGAAACTGTATATTAGCTAAAGGTATAGTGTGAAAACGAGATATTAATTAACAATAGTGTGTGTAAATGATATATAACTTAAGGATATATTGTGGAAGCGATATATTAGTTATAGTGTGGAAGCGATATATTAGTTGTAGTGTGGAAGCGATATATTAGTTGTAGTGTGGAGGCGATATATTAGTTGTAGTGTGGAGGCGATATATTAGTTGTAGTGTGGAGGCGATATATTAGTTTGATATAGTGTGGAAGCGGTATATTAGTTGTAGTGTGGAAGCGGTATATTAGTTGTAGTGTGGAAGCGGTATATTAGTTGTAGTGTGGAAGCGGTATATTAGTTGTAGTGTGGAAGCGGTATATTAGTTGTAGTGTGGAAGCGATATATTAGTTTGATATAGTGTGGAAGCGATATATAAACTGAGTGAGAAACAGAAGTACAATTAAGCAATAACATTGAACAAAAGGAAATGTTAGAGAAATAGTTTTTAACTTTCATAAACGATCGATCTCTCTCTCTTGATTGAAGATATGTAATTTAAATTATATGTATATCACATATTAGCAAATGATATATATTTATGGCCAATAAAATGTGACTTCATAATACTTAGCAGTCAGTGTTTATCTGATAACAGCAGTTGAGAGGCACAACTATATAACTGGAATGGAAGCGTGATTTTAGTTCTTGCCAGACATCATAATTAGATTGATAATTTACATTAACCAACTTTTACTTCAGAATAGATATTTTATCATCAAAATGATTGACATATTTCATCGTTATTAGAATGCTGGTCTTATTATATAATGTGGCTGGTGCTGCCATCTTATATATATGCTGGTTTTATTATACAACGTGGCTGGTGTTGCCATCTTATATATATGCTGGTTTTATTATACAACGTGGCTGGTGTTGCCATCTTATATATATGCTGGTTTTATTATACAACGTGGCTGGTGCTGCCATCTTATATATATTATGCACAATTATATAAAACATTTTTTGAATAGTTCAAGCAAGACTTTTTTTCTATACTTAAGCTATCTTTCAAGTTTATATATAACACTTCTTACTGAAATGTTTATCTTAAGTCATTAAGTTACTACTTAGTAAATACCCGAGTTAGCTTCTCCTTTCTGTGACAGACATAAATTCAATTAAAATGCTAAAACGTAGGACAGTTAATCCTTACCTCTGCCATTTTCGCCAACACTACCCAGTCTTCTTTCTTGAAGGTGCAAGTAATACTGGCAATCAGGATCTACGGTTCAAAATAAGAACGTACAAGTCTGACAACAGAACAATCTAAACAAATCCTATGTCATCGAACGTTTTGGAAACCATTCAGAGGCAAATGTCATTTCAAGAGTTCAGATGTTTTTCATTAATGACAGCTCCGAGTCATTTAGAAATGACCGACTTCTTGCATTTAAATTATTATTAAGCCGCTAGTGTACAATAAAAACAAAAACCTTATTAAAACTACTATTTGTATCAAAATGAAAGGATAGGGCTAGCCAGCTGTAATTAATGTCTAACGTTTTCCATCCATTTACTGGTACATTAAAGTTAAAGTTTTTCAGTTACTTTAGTTTTTCTGTTCTTATAATATACACATAAAACACAAAAATACTTAAATGATCGGGAAAGTCTCTCTTCAGTTCTCTTAAGCTCTGACACCAGTAGGCAGCAGTCTTCTCACTGCTCAGCTCTATATTCAAGAAAGATCCCTGGCCTGGGCCATAACTGTGTCCTGAGGTAGTACCCCGAACGATACGTGGTGATACGTTTGTTACGATATCCTGGGTGAAAAGTAGTCATGTTTCAGTTGCACATGTTTAACAGTATATTGTTTATTTTTCTCTAATTCTCTTATTAATGTCTTAATAGGTTCCGCGCGATATTTTCAACTAAGTTTTATAAAAACGGTGGATTTCAAAGAGAGGTCTCTTCTTCTGCAAGGATACACGAAATACCTCAATCTTTGGCTGTTTATTTTTAGCTTCTTTATTCACCCATACTTCTAAAGTCCCCACACCCCTGCCCAGTGGTTCAGCGTTAAGTTACGACACTAAAAAATCGGGTTTTGATATTTGTGGAGGGAAGAGCATAAGTAGCCCAACAATCGAACCTTACTTCAAAATGACTCGTATTTTAGTACCTGGATCTATCAATCTGGATTAGATGATTTACACCTGTTATTAATACAACATAACGAAATGTATAGCAGACGATGATTTTTTTTTTAAATACTGGCGGAGCTTTCCATCTGTTGTGACATTATTCGTTATATCTGACGTTGTTCACCAACATTTTCCAATATAGATCTTAAATTCGAACGTTAAATTACTTAGAATGTAATACATTTTAGTTTAAGAATTCTAGTAACTTGAGTATTCTATTCTTTGATTTAGTACCTCAATATTTCTAATGTCTCATTATAAAAAAAAATATTTCGGAATACCCAAAATCATCACTAGAAAAATTCAAGTTAAATGTACGGGAGGAGCAATTTTTCTAAATATGGTTTGCTTGTTTGTTGTTAAGCACAAAAGCAACACAATGGGCTCTCTGTGCCTACAAGCTTACCGCTGAGACTGCATTTGTTGTAACAAGAACATAGGCATTGTCTTCTTCAAGAATTCTTTGATAACATAACATACATCATAAGAGTAGGAGGTGTGACGTCTTTATTAGGATGTGTGAGTCTTCTTTCGTAAATCAAGTTAAAAATCAACATAAATTACTGACTTATCTTAAGGTATAATCAATACAGGATATTTTTTATGTAACTCGTTTCCAGGGCCTATTATACATATACAATGCAGTTTACTTACGGTCCGGCATGGCCAGGTGGTTGGGGCGCTCGACTCACAATCTGAGGATCGCGGGTTCGAATCCCCGTCCCACCAAACATGCTCATCCTTTCAGCCGTATGGCGTTATAATGTGAGGTCAATCCCACTATTCGTTAGTAAAAGAGTAGCCCAAGAGTTGGCGGTGGGTGGTGATGACTAGCTGCCTTCCCTTTCACTGCTAAATTAGGGACGGCTCGCGCATATAGCCCTCGTGTAGCTTTGAGCGAAATTCAAAAACCAGTTTACTTACATTTAATATTAATCCTCAGTACTCTGTCTTCCCATTTTTGTGTACAGTCTACTATCACACATGTATATATATAGAACATGTACTTACATTTAATATTAATCCTCAGTACTCTGTCTTCCCATTTTTGTGTACAGTCTACTATCACACATGTATATATATATATATATATATAGAACATGTACTTACATTTAATATTAATCCTCAGTACTCTGT